AAAAGGAAAGAAAAGAAAAGATACAGTTCCCCGAAGCATGAGCGCTCATCAGGACCAAAGGAAGAAACAACCTCGGGGGCAGGAAGTGAACTCTTCCTCTTCCCTGAATCTCTGCGCTGGTCGGCAAGCGTGTGCGGCTATGGCAGGTTCGAGCTTCATTCATTAATTAATTAAATCCACTCTGGTTTCATTCCTCCTTTATTCCTGTCTTTCCGGTTCTTTCACCTTTCTCTCTCCAGTTCTTCCAACTTTGCTGTAGAGATTCCACAAGGTATGTTGTTTCCCTTGACTTGGTGGTCACTCTCATACTCACTCGTCTGTGCTATAGTGTAAAAATATACATAATCCCAACTATATCATCATGCTTTGGGGATCCCAATCCAAGCAAGAGGACTCGCCGGAGAAGCCCATTCCCCGAGAAAAATTGCCTCCGCAACTGCAGCAACTCGTGGATCATGACGAAGCGTTCTATGATGATATCTACTCCTCCTAGTATGTTTTTTCTTTTTTTTTTTTTGTTCTGTTCTTTCTCCTTCCCCACACTTTTTTCTTTCCCCCCCCGCAAAAAGGGAACATCGTCACATTTCCTCCGAGTACTCGATACAACCTTTTCGTTGCTCTTCGCTTGTCCACAATTTACACCAAGAGAGAATCTCTCACTAACTGAAAATTTATTCGCCCAAAAATAATAGCTCCGTAGATTCCACCGACACTCCCTACCGATATGCTGGATACGCCAATCGACTCCGCACCGTGTTACTCTCCGCGCATCGTTATGTCGCCTATACTTCCGACATAGGCGAATCGTTCCGACCTGTCGCTCATCCGTATCTAGTGCGCTCCGCTTACGCCATCTCCTGGTCGTACCTGATCGGCGATGTCGCCCATGAAGGCTACAAGGCCTATCTGCGCAATCGGCGCGTACTCGCCCCGCCTGGCGAGGCCTACAAGGACGCCAAGGATCTCACCCAGGATCAAGTCATCAAGGGCATGGCCACCGGCAATGTCGGCGGTTCGTTACGCTCCCCCACGGGGGAATCGGATTCCCTGGAGCCCTGGCCCACTACCCAAATTCCGCTCATCGAGGATTACCGCACGGTTATGGCCAAGCGGGCCGTATTCCAGAGTATCGCCAGTATGGGACTCCCCGCTTTGACCATTCATTCTGTGGTGAAATACTCTGGACGCGCTTTGAAGAATACCAAGAGTGTGTGGTTCCGCACTTGGGCGCCTATCGGAGTGAGTCTTCCTTTTCTTTTCCCTCCTTCTCATTATGTGTTATGATAAAACGTCTGCGTGGAATGCTAACACAGCCAATCGCTCAGCTGGGTCTCTCCGTCGTCCCCTTCCTCCCTTACATTTTCGACGAACCCGTCGACGAGGCCGTCGAATGGTCCTTCCGCACCGCCATCTGCGCCTATGCTGGCGAAGACGCCATTCGCTCGCTGCCCAAGACCGCCGACACAGACGCTAACGCCAACACCGCAGCCCTCACCACCCACTCCTGGGAGGAATACAAGGAAGAACGCCGTCGGGCGAAAGAAGAGCGGAAGAAGGAGCTCGAGGAACGCGGACAGAAAGGACCGTTTGCCTTACTAGGGTTGGGAGGCAATGAGGACTCGAAGAAGAAGACGGAGTAATAATCATAATCATAATGTATCTTTTGCTTGTTTCATCTTTGCATGGGAGCGTGGCTGGTGCCTCTTTTCTTTCGTGCTTTGCGTTTCTTTTCATGTTGTTCTTTCACCTTCCATGTACATATATATACATATCTTAAGCGTTGTCTGGATCAACTACTCTCCCGGATAGCATTTCGTCGATGACATGCTCTGGTCCATCAGTCTTGTGATGACCCCTCTCCATATACATAGACTCGTGGGTCGGCTAGATGGATGCTACATCGATCCTACATTTACAACGACGGGAACATAGACTCAAAAGTCGTTCAATCCATGCCAACGCATGGCTCATTTCGCTTTCTACTGGCACTATACAACTGTACACATATGGACAAGCGACAAATAAAAAAAAAAGAAAAATCCAAACCGGTAAAAAAAAAAAAAAAACTAAAACTAAAACAAAAACCATAGGAACACGGACAAGAGGGGAAAAAGGGAGTAGTGTAGGACAGTACGACATCACTCGTCACAGATACCTTACCACCCATCCATTAGAGAGCGGGAGAGGAGGTCCAAATCAAAGAAGAGAAGAAAAAAATATATCTTTACTGTAAATAATAAGAGTTGGTGGGAGGCAAGGTCTTTTGCGCCGTGTCACCATCAAGGAGAGTAAGAAGGAGAAAGGAAAGAAAAAAAAATACCAAAAACAGAGGGGGAATAAGAAGAGAAGAAAGAAAAAAAAAAGGTATGTAAGGTGAATAACATAGAAGGACACATGATATCCAAAACTTGAATACAGTCAGAAGATGAATGGCCAAAGCTTCCACAAGGGCCACACAGAATCGAGTGATTCGATTCGGATTCCCCCCAGTCTAATTGTGATTTATTTTTTTTTTTGTGTTTTGTGCTTTTGTTTGCTATCCTCGTCCCAAAGAGGACCTCATCATGTACATCTCATTTTTCTTTTAATTCCATCCGAGGGAGTTCTCGGCCATCACAGGGGCACTGATCATCTGCGTACGCCCGGTGCCGCGGCTGTTGTTGCTGTTGCGCGACATACGGCCACCCGCTGCGAACAAAGACGCACCGTTACGGCCCTCGCTCATCTGCTCGACGTTCGAGCTCGACCGCTGGTGCAATTGACGCTTCTTGCGGTAGCGACGAGCCACCCAGAACATGCCCGCACCGTAGGCGGCGGCTCCCGCCACGACACCAACGCCAATGCCGACCGAGCTGGCATGAGTCGATCCGCTGCTGCTAGCACCGGCATCCGAGTTAGGGTCCGACTCGTTGTTGCTGTTGTTGCCGCCAGTGTTGCCGTTGGACCCACTCGAGCCGGACGATCCACTGCTACCTGAGGAGGATCCGGACTCGCCCACCACGAGAGGAATGGAGGGATCAATCATCGACATCAGAGCCTTGGCAGACCCATCGGCCTGCTGGTAAAGCCGCGAGTTAGGGTTGTTCAGCATCTTCCGCAGCCCATCCACCTGGTCGGTGGGAATGTACGCCATGGCGACGGTGGCGATATAGCCCGTGCTCTTCGAGTTGTCGTAGGGCTGGATCGCCAACATGGACACCTCCTTTCGGAGGATCTCCAGCGCGTACTCCAAAGCGATCGGAATGTAAAGGAAGATCTGCGAGGAAGACAGCGGCGTCGTGGCCACAAAGCTGTAGCGAAGCTTGCCATTGAATCCCAACTGAATCAGGGTCGAGTCCGCTGGGGGCTCGACGGGAACGTTGCCGGGCGAGATAGACCCAGGGAGCTGGGTCTGAGTGGACGTTGTCGTCGCCGTAGTGTGAGGGGCCGTGTTTTGTGTCGTCGGGCTCGGAGGCTCCACCAGAATCGTCGACGGGACCCAGTCATTGGCGTCGCTCGTCGTGGTGGGCGCCGCGGTCGGGGTGACCTGGGTCGTCACCGTCGACTGCTCCGTGGTGCTGGGCTGTTCCGTGCTCGTCGGGGTCAGGGTGGTGGAGGGAACGGGAGTTGGTGTGTTGGTCGAAATCGGGGTGCTTTGGCTCGAAGGCACGTCGGTGGGCTTCGAGGTGCCGATGAGAGGAGTCGACGAGACCGACGAGGGCAGGGACGAGCCACTGGAGCCGGTCGAACCGGTCGAGGGAATGACACCACTGGTCGATGTAGGAACACCCGGGCTGATGATCGAGCCGGACGGTCCATGGGTGAAAGTCTGAGTGCCGGTGGACGCTCCGGGGATGACCGGGCTGGATGTGGTTGAGCCACTCGATCCGGAAGCTCCTGGGGTGACTCCGGAGGAGATGCCGGCGGAGGGTGTCGGCGTGGCCGGTGGGATACTGATGGAGATGGTTGGCAGAATACCCGAAGAGCTTGTTAGGTCGGTGGAGCTTCCATTGGCGGTGCTAGATCCAGCCTGCGCGGTCGATGTTTCCGAACCGTTGCCACTGAACGTCGAAAGAATGCCCGACGGAAGCACAGTGTCCAACAATCCCGAGGATGAGGCGGCGGAAGGGGACAGAAGGGAGGACAACAGAGCGGATGGAGTCGGAATCACATCGATAGACGTAATCTGGCTGGTAGACTCCGTCGATTTGCCCGTGGCGGAAGTGGCGGCCGAGGGGGAGACGACGGACGAAGTCGCCGACTGAGTGGGAATGACATCGATGGATGTAGGCTGGCCGGAGGACCCTGTCACTGAGGAGCCTGCCGAGACGGTTGGAATTACCTCGCTGGAAGTCGTCTGGTTCGCAGACGACTCCGAGGCACTGGACGTGCTCGAGCCGGAGAGAAGGCCTGACAGTAGTGAATTGACCAATCCGGGGGTGGACGATGGCTGCTCGGTCGAACTCGTCACACCGGTCTGCGAGGGCGACACCACTGTTGAGGTGCCCTCGGTGGTGCTGGCACCCGTTGCTGAGTTCGACGGGATCACAGGGACCGATCCGCTTGTGACATCAGTAGGCTGGGCAGAGCTGGCACTCTCAGAGCTGGATGAGCTGCCGAACAGGCCACTCACCAGATCACTCAGCACGTTCCCGGTCTTCGTGGCTGTCGCGGACGGAGTGACGGCCGTGGTCGATGTACCGGGTTCCTGCGACGATCCGACGACATTCGCAGACGACGCTGTGGAGCTCTCCTCCGACGACGTGGAGGCGTCCGTGGGCTTTGGCGATTCCACTCCTGTGGAAGATGATGGGGTCGTCTCCGGGTCCGAGGCTGCCTGGGAAGCGGTCGAGCCGGTGGTAGTTGCTGTGGCGCTGGCCGCGGCGGGCTCCGAGGTCAACACGGAGCTCGTCACGGTCGAGGTCGAGGCGGTTCCCGCAGGCGTTCCCGTCAAGGTATGCGTATTGCCCGCCGCATCGACGGACAAGGTGATAACAACGACCTCAGGCGTTTCCGTCGGCGCTGTGGTGGCTTCTTGGGGCGGCTGCAGAATCGAATCGAGCACGTTGGTGTTGGACCTGGGCACTTCGACGGTCTCGGGCGCCTTGGACGATGCTCCGGGGGCTGCAGAGGTTTGGTAGTTGATCAATCTTTTCATGTGTTTCGGCATGAAACGGGGCTTCAGCGTTGGCTCCTCGGCCGCGTTCCGAGCTGCAACCAGCTCGAGACCGCCGAGCGACAGCAACGCCGTCAGTATCGACGCCGTCTGGGCCACCATGTTGTAGGCGTCAAGGATATAACCACTTGGGTTGGAAAGGGCGGCGAATGGCAGTAATATAGAAGGAATGGACAGAGCGATAGCTCAAGCGGGAGCTTCCAGATCCACCGATGCAAGATCAAACGTCGATTATCGAGAACTCAGGCGTCGACGTTGCAGGCTCATAGATTTTGGTGGCTGGGGACGATGAAGAGGGGTTTCTGCGACACTACGCGGCCTCGTCTTTTCCGTTCGATGATGTTGTCTTCGAACGAATCACTCGAATGGTCGGTCTGTCAGTGCAGAGGGCTGGAGTGTCGTTTCACCAATCGATCAATTCCCTTTCCGATCGAATCACCAATGCAAGCAATTACTGCAACCAAACGTCTCGACGGGGACAACCGGTAAAACTGCAGTGACAGCGGGTCGATCGAGGACAGGAGCCGATTCGTACGGAGGATTTGACAACGGATCTAAACTGAAAACAACAACGCGCAGGTCAAAGAGCGGCAGGGGATAAACCAGACTAGCCGGAATCCCTTTCACAACGAAACAAGTAACGAACGTAGGTTGGAGTAAGGAGCGAACGACGAGGTTAAAAACCGGAAAAAACGAATGTAGTGGATGGTCGTGGTGGTTCTGGTCGACGACGAAGACGAGATTCCTGGCGGCGCGGACGGGAAGGCAGGCAAAGGAGGTTGTATTATTCTTCCCTCTCGGTCGATGCAAGGAGACGGATGGCGGATGAATTGAATTGTCCCCAAACAGGTCGTTGACGTAGGAATTGAAGATGAGCGATCAATGGATATTGGAGCTACGTCAACGACAGCATCGAGAGTAAAACCATTCAGAGAAGCAGAATGGGGAGGGGAGAAAGATGACGGTGAAGACAAGAGGTACAACCACTAAACAAGAAAAGAGGGAAAGAGAAGAAAATCAAAAATCAAAAATAAAAATAAAACACAAATTAATCACAAAGGAAGGGAAGGACTGGGAAAGGGAAGAGGGAGAATGAGTGAGTGAATGAGTGAGAGTGAGCAGCGAGCGAGTGACTTGCGTGAGCGAAAGAATACTCCGTGTACGAACTAGTTTAGTGTCAAGGGGGGGAGAGGAGGAGGAGGGGGTGGGCCAAGTGGGAGCGAGGTCGTGGAAATAATGCTGGCGTCAGCATATGATGATGATCCGTGACTGGACCCACCCAAGGAAGTATTATTATTGTTAGTACAACCAACTCCTACTCCGTACAGTACATACACACATATACATACATACATACACCGTCCTCTGTGGATGTTCGTCCATACCGTACCGTACAACATCCATAACTACATCAACGACGGACACTCTCCCACCTGCTGGTGATGACTACGTAGAAGTACAGCTAGTTAACTTGGATAGGTTCCTGTCCAAGTACAACGGAGGAGGACAAAATTTCAGGGTAGTATCACCGGTTCAATCTCCACTGGATCGACTGAAATGACCACAAGAAATGAGGAAGAACTAGTAGTCGATAGTAGAACTCTATCCCGTGTGACCCTGAGGACTCGACGGTGCGATCATTCGGTCACCAACCCGACTTCTCGTACTATCGATGTAGGAAGTAGTAGTAGTACTGAGTACTAAGATGATATATACCCTGACAGGCATTATCCTCGAGCATTGACCATGAGAAAGGGCAGTCATTCTCCATCGACGAAATTAAATTTGCAACTGTCAAGCGGATGGAAATTAATTGACATGGTGACATGACCATCTTCATTTAATTAGTTTTCGTTTTTAATTTCAACCGTCCCGGCATGAGGAAAATCCCCCTCATCGTCCCTCCAACCCAGGAGTTTTATGGGTTGTTGGTTGGATTTCTATGGAGATCCGAGGTTGACTTTTTTTTTCCTTGAGGTCAATGTTCTTTCTATTTCGATATACATACACCCGAGAAGTATCATTTCTTAGCCTTTCCAATTAACATGCCTGGTCGGCTTTAT